TTTGTAACCATCTTCAAATTCAATAGAACATGCAATTTCTATATATAAATTTCGCTTTGACTTCTTATTTAATTTATTTTGTGTCTTTTTTGGTGGATTTTTCAGGTTTTGCTTTTGTTTATATGGAAGTTGAATGAGATTTTTATGGATATTAAAATATAGTACATTTTTAAATTTGATTTACGGATAAAAAATATTTATTGAATAAAAAAAAAGATAAGGAGAAAGATGTTCCAATGAAAAAGGGAGTTGATGCATAGTTTTTTTGGTATACTTTTCAAATTGTAGTATTGACTTGTGACTTATAGTATCCATTTGTCTTTATTTGCCTATTTTTCTAAATTGTATTGTTGTATTATTTATCAATAGAGAGATCAAATTCATGCAATTATTAGAAGGTTTCTCAATCCATGTATTAAATGTAATATTTAAGAACATTAATTTCAATATTCAAGTTTTTTCATAATGACAATTTTTTAATTATTTTATATATATGATGAAATGAATATTTAACTGAAAAGTCATTCTTTAAATAGTATGTTGAAAAGTAAGGCTGTGAAAATGTGTTGTTTATATCTTCCATATACAGTAAAACCTCTCTAAATCTATATAGACGGGCCATTTAATATTATTATTTTGTAGAGGTATTATTTAATCAATAAATTAATATTTATTAATTTAAAGAGTGTTTCGACACCAAAAGCATTTCTTCGGGGATGAAATTTCAAAGAATTTGAAAGAAACCACTTATGAAAACGTCATTCATGGACTTGAAGTCAGGATTAATGATCTCAATTACCGCAATAAAATGGATGTTAATAACCTATTGAATAGGTGCAAATGATACATGTTTAGAGGTCCAAAACATAGAACAAAATGTGGATATCATTGGAAAAATAATATTGATAATAAAGTTGAAGATGATACAATACCTTTGGAACCAGTTATGTGTAAGGAAACACTTGCATCTAGATTTGTTCACAATTTTATGGTACAATTAGAAAAGACAACACCAAAACTTTTGGATGCAATAAGAAAAATTAGAGATAAGCTTCAACTAGATTTAAATTTTAACAAAAAAACAGAACATAATAGAATCATATTTCACTAATTTTCTTAGATATATTTGTACTTTTAAGGAATTACTATTTTATAATATTAATGGGACCATATATTTATATGGGGTCTCCTGAAAATATATTATCTTATTATCTTATCGAAATGGGTGATTTTTTCCATTGGCCCAAGTAGGGACCAAAGGAATTTATTAGCTTAGAGAGATTACTAATTAACCGAGTATTAATTTAGTGAGATTTTACTGTAAATTTTTATAAATAATAAATTATTATCAGTGGCATTAAATTGGATAAAGTTTGTTCTTAATTAATTCTAAATATTAGAAAAGTACTATGTATACATGCACTGATAAATGCTTTGTTTGAAAAAATCTTCAAATAAAGTTTCAACATTTTTTTTTCTAGAGTTCTTAATATGCTTACAATATGTGTATATATATATAGAGAGATTTATCGATAACTTGTGCATTTCTTACCCTGATGTTTTGAAGCAATTAATTGTTTGCTTAGTTTTGTATTTCTATGATGGATATGAATTTTTGACATATGTACTTGCTATTTGATTACTCCATTATAGTTATTAATTTTATCGTGTTTTAATTGTAATTTTTCTACCTACACTCGATAAAATATGCCTATTCAGATTGAACTCATCAATAATAAGCAATGAGGATTGAAAGTTGGAGTTATAAAAGATAGAACGTACCATATCGCAAATATTCACACATCATATTCTTTATTGAATTGATTATTCAAGATAAGAAGGTACTAGCAAATAGTTTTTTAAAAGTTTTTCTTACATTTATTGTTTGTAAAGTTCTCTATTGGATTATATTATGATTTTAGAGTTCTATCATTTCAAATACCCATAACGTTTATTAGTTAGTATGTCTTACAATTCCTTAACGCTTAAAAATATTCTTTCAAATAATTGCTTATTAATCTTCTATATATAAGTTGTTTAGTCTAAGACATTATATATTATAGATAAATACTAAAATTTTCTGATGCTTTTTTTTTATCCTCTTGAAGAAAAGTTTCAATAAAAAGCTACTACTTCCTCCATTTATTTTTAGTTGTTATGTTGTGCTTGTCAAAAATTTAATTCATTGCACGTTCAGATACTTTTTAGAGGTGAGTTTTGTTTTGTTTCAGAACAAACAAACAAATAAATTAAATATGTTAATAATTATTGAGTCCGGAACCTAAATAAGCCACACAAAAATAAAAGTGACCAAAATAAGCCATTACTTTAGTAAGTAACTAAAATAGGCTTAGTGGAAGAAAATATTTCACTTTATACAATATTCTAAACGTTTTCCGTTAGTCTCATAACGTGTATATTTTAATATATAACGAAACTATTTCTTACACCTTGTAAAATGGAACTTTTCTTACACTTTATAAAGTGGAAGAAAATCTTACACTTTATAAAAAGTTACTTTACCTTTTCACTTTCTTCTTCTCCTCTTTCACTTTCATGACTTCCAAACGTTTTTTCACTTTGAAGATTAACATTTGATGGTCCCAATCCGACAACTGAAGCGGCCCCACACTAAAAAATTAAAATTAGGTATTTTTTTTCCATCTTATATTTTCATTACTTTGAAATGATGTTGTAATTTGTTCAAAATTTCAGCAAGTCTTATACAATGTGCATTCAATTACTAAATATTGAGTTAGAAAAAAAGAGTCTTTAATTCGAAAGAAACAAAAGGAATTACATTGTTGAATTGGTATTGCAAAAATAGTATTTCGCTACTGCAGAATTACACATTTTCATCTCATGTTTTTTATATTTAATAATTGTGAGTCCTTACGGTTACATCATGTGGAGTACGGAACCTAAATAAGGTCATTATATTCTTTCCAAGCTATATCATAATGTCTTAAAGTGAATATATGTTTTTTCCCCATGAAAAATATTGCATAAAGATTGATAATGGCAGCAAATAGGGAGAGGCTAAAAAGGAACCATCTATTGGAACAATTGAGGGATGAAGAATGAGATATTGAAGCTAAGATAACACCTTGAAACACAAAAAAATAGTGTCCAAGTTGAAAAATAGTGTTTTCAAGATGTTGAAGTCGTTTTTTGTATTTGTCAACAAGTTTTTCCATTGCTTCTAACATAGATTCCCTTCTTGCATTATTGTCAATTCTATTTGGTGCTTGTCTTTGAGCTTGATTAGTAGCTTCTCTTGCATTTCATCCCCTAGCAATATGATCCATTGTGTTTAAATGAAAAAATAAATAAAATTGTATTGAAATAAAATGTTATATCATATAGTATATATATAGCAGGGAGACTAGTACTTTTGGTCCCTCAATATATATATATATATATATATATATATATAGAGAGAGAGAGAGAGAGAGAGAGAGAGAGAGAGACAGACAGACAGACAGAGAGAGAGAGTAGGGAGACTAGTACTTTTGGTCCCTCAATATTTCATAAATTTTAATTTTGATCCTTGCGATATATGACTCAACATATTTAACCTTTGATCCTTTTATGTTGAAAATATGTTATGCTCAGAATTTTTTTAGAAATATGTTGTTGTATTCCTAAAATATGGGATAATAAATATAAGTTTAACATAACACATTGATAACTGAATGGTGAAGTGGTTAATAATTCTGAATCTTTTTGAATATTATAATCAAAGAGATTAAAATTTCACAATTACACATTTCAAGTAGTTGAAAGATAGTCTTAATCAATAAGTACCAAAATTGAAATTTATCAAATTCTAGGGATTCAATTCCTCTCCATGGGGAAAAAACATAGTCATCCCTCAATTGTTCCAATAGATGGTTCCATCTCTTTCTCTTCAGGTATATGTTTCTTTTGGTTCTTTTTATTCTATTTTATTTTCTTGTGATTGACTCGACAAATAACACATTGAATTAACTTGCTGAAGTTAGAGATTCTTTAACTCTCGTACAATTATTTGTTTGAAGATAGTTCACAATTTAATTTGTCAAGATATAATTATACTAAATGAATTAATAGAATTTTTCTTACAATATATAATGGAGCGTGTTGTTAATCCTGGACCGATTGATCGTACACTTCTTCTCTCTCATCATGAGCATAAATCAAAATTGTGATGAAAAGGTGAGATATCATTTAGTAGGCTTATGAGGACGGTTCACATGAATGATGGTTGGAATTTATTTCGTTTGCACCGACCTCATAGACGTGTTGAGAAGATCTTATGTAGGTCCGGACTGTATGATATAGTTTGTGTGGGCAGGATGCAGTATGACCGTGCCCTTGTTACAGCTATGGTTGAGCGTTGGAGGCCAGACACTCATTGCTTCCACTTACCTTTTCGTGAGGTCACGATTACATTGTAGGATATGCAGGTCTTGTTTGGTTTGCTCATCGATGGTGATGTTGTGTACATGCAAGATGCTGCACGGAGGATTCATCCATGGCGTACTTTATTAGAGACACTCACAGGATGCGCCATAGCACCAACTGATATGGATATTGGCAAGTCAAGTGAGGATACATAGCATTACCGACTACTTGCAAGATCAGTTACAAGTAGATCTGATACGAGATGCTACTCCAGTAGAACGGGTTGAGAAGATTGCTAGACTTTACATGCTTGTTATATTGGGGGGACATCTTATTTCCGAACACGTCGGGGAACCTTATTAGCTTACAATACTTGGCGTTTCTAGATCCCATCCACGATGTAGGTAAGTACAATTGGGGCAGTGCAGTGTTGGCCTACTTGTACTGTGCACTTTGTCGGGCATCTATCGGTAATGTGATTGACATTTGCGGATTTATTCCTCTCCTTCAAGTAACCTTACTAAATATTTAAAATACATTCAAATACAAAGAATCTTTAACATTACACCGTACAAGAATATTTTTTCTATATTCAATTTTTTAAAATATTTAAATTACTTGATATCATATTTTCCAATCGCAATCAACAACTCGATATCATATTTTTCATAGGCATGTGTTCTGTCGATCGATATAACAGGACGACAAAACACAAACCCATCAATGCATGGTTTAAAAGTCCAGAACACATAGTTGAATACATTTTCAATGACATTGACACGACACTCTGTTTTCCATTCAACTATTGTTACAAGATTGAAGTGTTTCAAAGCTTCCATGAACCTCGGTAACTCGGCAAAAGAACCCTCCCAAGTACCATAGACTTTTTCAAAAGCACGCTTGCAACCAAGATAGACTTTTCTTCTACTTATCGAAATGGCGTATGCTTTAAGAACGCCTGTTTGACAGTCTTTGATGGGAAACCTGAAAAAGTAAAAATAATATTAATTATCAAATAAAAAAATAATTTTTTTCTTATTAAAGAAAAATCACCTAAGGATAAAATAGTACCTTGGCATTTTTTCTATATCAACACGGAGGATGCTAGCAATCATCTCAATATCCAAGTTGAAATGTCCATCGCGGCACGTACCCATATTACATGTATGTTCTTTAATGTATCTTCCAACTTTCCACATGTTAGTATGTTTATCATTAAAAGAAGTCAGCCTAAATCGACATCCTTATTATACACGCCTGCAAACAAGTCGTCGTGATTTCTTTGTCGATTTAATAGCAAAGTACTTCCTCGCTATCTTTAAATGTAGAAGCTTAATTGCTCTTTTCAACTGCTTCTTTGAATTGAATAACATGTCTTTTTCAATATAAATAGCACCATTCATGAAATCTTTTGGTTCACGCCACGTACGTTGTGATATATATTCATCATGTGTATCGCCAAACATATTTGGACCATCTAGGAGATAATCAAGATAAGAAATTTCATGATTACGAAACGGACTCATGGACATTGATCTTGGCGACCAATTGGGCATAAAAAAATCATCATCACTAGATGATGCCTCAAATGGAACATTATCTCCTGATTCCTCAGCATTAGACAAATCATCACTATCACTAGCTGAAGGTGTGTCGTAATTTGAAAGGTCATGATCATCGATATTCACAGTGTCAATGGGCTCATCTTGTGTGATAGTTTCCCTATATATGTAAAAAAGTATAAATATTTGTCTCATGCAATTAACTTACTTAAATTAAAAATCAATTGTTGGACATATCGATAATCATCTTCATCAAAAGTAGGCGAGACATGAAAATTTGAGGATGTCCCAACAGTTTCCATCATTTCAAAGTGTGAGGACTAACCAAAATAATTATCTAGTCCATAGCTTGGAGGAATATTCCTATCTTGCTGAGGTAAACTGCTACAAAATATATAATAATAATAATAATAATAATAATAATAATAATAATAATAATAATAATAATAATATTAATAATAATAATAAGAATAATAAATCATATAAATTAATAAATAATTGACAAAATCAACAAATAATAATTGAAATATAATTATTGAGCATTACCAGTCATTTTCATTGATAGTTTCGTTCAATCAAAATCATATCGATCGGTAAGAATATTTTGATAATGAGTTATGTTAGGAAAATCAGTAGATTGAGTTATCGAAAATCCATCAACGCTATTATGATTTTCTAATCGGAGATGGAATCGACCGATAAAGGAGAACGTTGTTGACTAGTCTTAGGCTCCTTTTTAACATAGATTTCAAGTATTGTTAACTTGATTTGATCTATGTAGTCATTTGGAACCCTCAAAAAGTCTGTCAACGATTCATCATTATAGATAATCCACTCTCCAAAATTTACTAGTCCTTGTGATAAAAATGAAATAGGGTATTTTTTTACTATAATCAAATTATAATCAGTACTATTTACACCCATGTTTTATAAATTGATGAAATAAATCCATGATGTCAGACATTAATTGAATATTTAGCATTGTGTTTGGGACAATTATAATAAAGGCAAAAGTACTCATTACCCTCCCCCTGAACTTGAAGATTTTTATTCGGTGTACACCTAAATTAAATTTCGTTTTAATTAACCCCCCCTCCCCGGAACTTGGTTTTCCTCTGTCGCATACACCTTTATTGTCCACCTAGCATAGCAATTGACAACACACTCTACGAGGCGCGTGAGGAAGTGATTTTTTGCCACATCATAAAGCTACAACGGTAAAAAACGTAAAATTTTCATCCTTCTTTAATATTTGGCATATTTTAAAGATCTTTCTCTCTCTATTCTCTAACTATTTATTCTCCCTAATCCCTTCTCCCTTTTCAAATTTCAGAATTTTTCTCTCTTTTTTGTTTTAATTGCTATTGCTAAATTCATGAATTATAATAGGAGACTTGTTTGCTTATGTGGGACTCCTCCAATTCTGAAAATTTCATGGACAAATGACAATTCCGGACGTAGATTTCTCAATTGTAGACACTATGGGGTATGTATTGTTTCATATTTTTTTTACTTTTTATTTGCCAAGTTCGTATTATGTAATTTTTTTAACTTTGATTTTATGAAATGCAGTCCTCATTTCGAAATCCTTGTAAGTTTTTTGATTGGTATGATCTAGAATTTCCTAGCTAGGCGAATACTGTGATTTTGGGTCTGTTGAAGAAGACCAACAAACAAGAAAAACAGTTGAAGTGTAGATGGATGTTGAAAATGATTTTGGGCATTAATTTGATATGTAATATGATATTGTTCTTTTATTTAGTGTGTCGTTGAATTTTTTTTTTGTGAATGCAATTGTTATTAATGCAAGGTCTTTTGGTTCTAGGGTTCTCATTTTGTGGATTAGTTTGGTTTGGTGTTTTAGTGATGTATGTTTCTGCTGATTAAAGCTATATATATATATATATATATATATATATTTGTGTATGTTCAATTGACTTATCCTTTTTTCATAAAACTACAGTTACATGTAATTGGTAATATGATAACAAAACATGAAATAATAACATAAAGGCAACCTAACTTAAAGGCATAACATAACTAGTGCTTTCTTGATCATCGAACACAAACATCATAGTGTTTCATTGTTTCAAACAACAACCACAATAACTTAAGTTAACCACCAAAACAAAAAAACAGTCACTACTTTAAGTTTGGTTGAGCAACCACACAAGCACCAAAATGCAAAACAGGCACTACTTTAAATTTGATGGAACAACCACACAAGCACCAAAATACAAAACAGACACTAATTTAAGTTTGGTTGTTACAACCACACAACTAAGAAGTTTTATTTGAGGGTGATTTTCCCTTGGCTTGTGCCCTTGTTTGAATTCCAACAGCTTTTGATCTTGTTTGAATACGACGCATAACACTTTGGACTTGAAGTTCTCTTAGAGTCATGACCTGTTTGCCTTTCCACTTCAGTCCCTTGGTAGGTTTATAACCAATATCACCTATCACATGTGCAGAACTCACCACACCAGTATTAACCCTCCTACTGCTAGACAATCCTTGGTGCAATATTAACAACATAGTTATTTTGGGTCTCACATTTAAAAATATAATTTTGACAGTTTTATAAGACACTTACATTAATACATGTATATCCAGTATCAGCAACAAATACACCTTGTCCAACCACTTTTGGCCTCTTCTTGTAACCACTTCCTGCACCTCTTCTTGTACCAGTCTAGCTGCTGCTTGCTCTTTCATATTGACCTCTACCCCTTTTTTTTTCAGTGGTGGACTAATGTGAGTAGAAAAATAATACAACAAGAGACTAAATTAATAAGTAACATAATCTAATTTATAAAAGCAAATTAATGTGAATGTACCTCTTGAGTGGGTATTGGTGTAGACTTAGGTTTAGGATTTTTTGGACGATTTCTCTTGTTATGATTTGCTCCTTTGCAAATTGAACATGTCATTACTGTCCCAATTCTTGGCAACTTCCCAGGTTTTCTCACTTCATCAATTTTTCTTCTTCTGTTCTTTGGTGGCCTACCAGGCATTGGCCTTGCCTCAGGTGGTTCAACTATTGGGTTTATGCTTTCAGGCCACATTTTCATATTTGGGACTGGTTGAATGAAATGAGAATATGTCTTCAGATATGTCTCTTTTCTATACCAGCTTAAATTACTTGTGATGTATCCATGTTCAAGCGGTTCATTGTTGCTATACCATGTGCACATGGGATACCTTTCAATTCCCAAGATCTGTAACTACATTTCTGTTGACCCAAGTTCACAGTATGCTTATATACCCCTTCAAACACTTCATATCCATCATCACAATTCCATTCAATGTTGCACTGCATTGATCTTGTTACATTGGTATTGAATACCATCATTTCCATTGGAGATATTCCATATGTCCATGTTTCAGCAAATGCTTTTGACTTACTCACCCTACTCATCACCTTAACTATAATTTCTTCCAACATAATTACAATAGTCTTGTTCCCAGGTCCCAAGATCCAAGCATTGAAACTCTCTGCCATGTTGTTATATATATTATCACATTTTGAAAAAGTTTGGAAAAAAGCTTTGCACCATTTCTCCTTATTGTATTTGATAAGGGCTTCAACTATACCTTTTCCCAGCTTGGATAGGGCATTTATATTGTACTTAAATTGTGCCTCAAATGTTGATCTAGCACAATCCCAAAATTTCTCCCTTATCTCTATGCCTCTAAAGTTTTGTGACCAATTTGCTAATATGTGTCTAGCACACATTCTGTGCTCAAATTCTGGAAATAGTTCATCTACTGCAGCTATTAGTCCCTTTAGTTGTAAAGTAAAATAATAAAGATAGTTAAACTTTGATCAAATTAAATTAAAGATAAACAAAAAAAAATCAGTTACCTTTTGCATATCACTAATGATAGTGAGCTGGGAACCATCTCCTAGATTTGGATCATCTTGCAGAATGGTCATGAACCATTTCCATGTCAACTTGTTTTCAGTACCAATTACTACCCATGTTATTGGATACATTTGGTTGTTTGCAACCTTAGCAACAACTACCAAAAGTTGACCCTTACAAATTCCTTTTAGAAAACACTCATCCAGCCCTATACATCTTCTGCCTCCTTGTTGGAAAACCTTTTTCATAGTATCTAAACATATATAAAAAGAGTGAAACTGTTTTATCCCATTTTCTGATTCTGAATCTTTAAGCTTCACAACACAAGTGCTACAAGGATTTGTTTGGAGTACACATCCCTGTAGTCTAGGATTCTGTTAAATTCTGCCACATGATCTCTCATAATTTCCTTTAAAACAAATTTTCTTGTTTTTAAACAGACTACCTTGCCTACATGAACATTCAACTCTTTCCTCACCAAATCTTGTATTTCCCACCCTTTTATACTAGGTTGAGAAATAATCCTATCTATCAGATACTTACATAAAAATTTTGAATTACACAAAATATTATTGGTGGTCTTGGTACATCTGTGCCTTGGGTTGTATGTCTTGATAGTGAAGTTCTCACTCCTCCCTTCCTTGCTTGCATACAACAGCCATGGACAACCACTTTTACACTTGACTCTTACTCTAGTACTCCCATTCACATACTTGTCTAACTCAACTC